ACAGGCCTATCCGTGTGACCTCAATGCCAGGGATGGTCATGAAGCAGATCACCTGAGTGCCATCACACAGCACATGCAGGACATCAAGGGGATCGTGCCCTGCCAGCCTGGGTTTGTCAGACACAGATCCTGCTTGACCAACCTGATCTCCTTCTGTGACAAATTGACTCATATAGTAAATGTGGGAAAGGCTATGGATGTTGTCTACCGGAGCTTAGTAAAGCATTTGACACCATTGCCCACATCATTCCTCTGGAGATACTGGCTTTCCATGGTGTGGAGGGGTCAACTGGGTGTGGACAGTAGGGCTCAAAGAGTGGTGGTGAATGGAGCTAAATCCCGCTGTCAGTCACTGGTGGTGTTCTCCAGGCCTCTGTTCTGGGGCCTGTCCTGCCTAATGTCTTTACTGATAATTTGGATGAGGGGATCTAGTACACCCTGTCACTTTGCAGGTGATGCAATTTGGGTGGGAGTGTTGATTTTCTGGGAGGTAAGAAGGCTCTTCAGAGGGGTCGGACAGGCTGGATCCTGGGCTGAGGTCAGTGGTATGAGGTTCAGGAAGGCCAGATGCTGTGGCCTGCCTTTGGGTCAGATCAATCCTATGTAACAATGCTACAGGCTGGGGAATGAAAAACTTCATGGTGGGAAAGAAGGGGTCATTTAGTCATTTAGTCTAGATCTCCAGAGGTCTCTTCCAGCCTTGATATTCTGTGATGCTGTGATTCTGTGCTGGCCTACAGCAACTAATCACGAGCCAGCTGTGTGCCCAGGTAGCCAAGACGTCCAGTGGCATCCTGGCTCATATTAGCGATTGTTGGCCAGCAAGGGCAGGGGATTTTCCTGATGTACTGATAAGGCCACATCTCAAATCCTGTGCTCACTTTTGTGCCCCTCTCTACAAGAAAAACATTGAATTGCTGTAGTGTGTCCAAGAAGGACAATGGAGCTGGTGATGGAGCACAAGTCCTGTAGGAAGCAGCTGAGGGAGGTGGGTCTTTCAGCCTGGAGAAAATGAAGCTCAATGGAAGCCTTATCACTCTCTACAACTGCCTGAAAGGAGGGCATAGCCAGGTAGGAGTCAACCTCTTATCCCAAGCACCAAGTGACAAGACAAGAGGAAATGGCCTCAAGAGGTGTCAGAGAAAGTTAGATCAGAGATTACAACAATTGCTTCATGGAAAGGATTGTCAAGCATTGGATCAATTATCTAGCATAAAAGGGGTTGTGCCACCATTCATGGAAGTATTTAGAATATGTGTAGGTATGGTGGCTGGGGACGTGATTTCATTATGTAGCTGGCAGTGTTCTCTTAATGATTGGACTTTATGATCTAAAATGTCTTTCCCAGCCTAAATATTGTTATGATTGTATGAATTGGTGGAAGATGAAAAATATGCCATATTCCAATGCTTAGTCTCTGAATGCCCATATCTGTAAGATACTGGTGTAAATTGGCTTTTGTTCTGACCTAATGCTGCATTTCTTTCTAATGGATTAGCACCAGAGTTCATCATATCAGGTGGTGCAGCTTTCCCATATGTCCAGTCCAGTATCATTGAAGTTAATTAGCTACTGAGTCATAGCAGGGAATGAGATTTGGAGTGGAGATGGGTAGGTAGTAGCACTTTAGCTGCCCTAAAAAAAATTGAGATCTTTGCACAGTGGTGGCAGGTGTGTCACAAAGTGAGCAGAATATCCTTCACTTCTGTTAGAGCATGTAGAGGTCAAGGCAGATACCAGAAGGTATCTAAAATGGTAGCATCGTATGTGTTTAGGCAATTGAATTCCTCAGTATATATCATGTTATAATTGTGCTTTCTTCTTAGAATTGCAGAATATGCTCCGACTGAACATTGCAAGTACAGAGTTTTCATCGTACAGAAATAAAACTATATTTTCATGATTAGTTTGTACAAACTGTGATAGTGCATATTCAGTATGTATGTGGCTGGAGCCACAGTCAGTGCATGCTGTCTCTGCCATAAATCTGTGCTGAGTCATTTCCTGTCGCTGCTGCTTAGTCCACAGCATGACACCCGCATTTGTGTGGTTTTAGAGCTGCCGAAATGATTTCCCATTCTTTTCTTCAACATCAATGGAAAATTTAGTATTGCTTTGAAATTCATGGAAGCTAGATCTACAAATACTTTGAACTTCATTACTTCCACTGGTCAGTGTTGAAAATCAGATGCCAAATCCAATTTACAAAATGGGAAAAGAATATCCATTCTGCAACATCTGTAATGTATCCTGGAGTTAAACAGCAAGAAAAAGTGTTTTGCCTGCACTGTGAGCTTGTGTTTGACATTATAATTTGGGGATAGTTGTCTTGGGGAAAGGGATGATGGAGGACAACTGAAAGGGGAAAAATCTTGAACAGATAGATCAAGGTTTCTCAGGAGACATCTGGCAATGCCCAAAAGCAATTCTTTATGGCTCTTTGCAACAGCCACTCACACTGCCTCTGTGGTCATGCACACCCAGAGGTGTTTGACACAGTCATGAGAATAGAACAAGGCCCAGTGTTGAGCCTTATGTGTGTACTGTACAGGATTGCTTGAACTAACATAGGCATTACTGTCTAGATATTTTTAAGACTTATGTGCAAACTCAGACTAATATAAAGTTTTGTTGTGATTAAATATAACTGCTAATCATGGCTAATCTCTAAAGATGGCATTTCAGGAAGTACTTTGCCACTCAGTGCTGTTTATGCAGCAGTCACTTAGAAAGCTTTATTCCAGCTGAGTTGGCTGATTGAATTACACAGAGGCCATTCAGAAAGAGTTACCTAGGCAACCCTTCAATTGGTCCTTTTGTGCTCAAATTTTATCTCAGTCATCATAATTCAAAGCTGAGCCTGTGTCTCAGGTGGATTTTGCCACCCCAAAAGCATCAACCAGAATGGAAAGTGAATGGATTTGGGTTTGGGAAGTAGCCTCATAAACTTCTTCTCTAGCTCAGTTCCTCTAAAGTCAGGCTTCAGTAAATTTCCAGCAATGAAGCATAGTGTGTCCATTTCAGTGAGGAGCTGAAAGCTAAAGGCAAAAGCTAGCCTCTTAAGCAGTTCCAGAGTCTCTGAAGTACTGTGTTGAGTGCTACAAATTGTGGTCATACATTTTTAAAATGTTTTTAATGATTATAGCCATTATGACCTATGTACTTTACTGTTTTCATACAATCGTGCAACTTGGGAGTTTCACAAAGTATAGGGCTTAGCAAAATATTGTCCTCTGTTAACATTAACACGCAACTCAAAAGTAGCTGCAACTCATTAGTGTGTCAAGAGGTAAATAGGAGTTTGCTTCCACCTGACAATTGATGTCAGGTGAAGAAGCCCAAGCTAAGAGCTGAGCTTGCTTCTGTAGGTACTGATCAGTTCAGGCAGTTCAACAATTCAGAAGTTCACAATAGTGGAATAATCAAGATCAGTTCTTCAAAACTGGCAGTAAATAGAATGTTATTAACAATACCAACATATGATGACATTTCATCAATAACTCTTTTGCTTAGAAAAGAACAGCTGGTGTTAAAATTTGAATGATTGCTTTATATAGCATTGTCATAAGGTTTATGTAAGCATAAACCTTAATACAGGGCAATAATTTAAAAGAAAACTGATTATAAATCTATGGGGGGAATAACATGCATATTGTGGACATTTCTCAATTAGTATCTTTTTTCAAAAATAAAACCCAAGAACACTATCTGAAAAAGTCATCATTATATCACTCATGTTGTCAAACAATTATCATTGGGTGCACTTTTTCAGACTTTTTTAGCTTTCATTGAGCTCTGTAGAAATCTTTCCAAGGTTTAACAGCATTTGCATTGTACGCATCTGTTTGAAAGTAGTATTCAGGCTGTTTTTTCAGTTGCCTGATTCTGAAATTTATGTGCAGTTCTGGAGGCATCACCTACCTATGTTAACAATTTAAATGTTATTTTAATACCTGTGTGCAAAAGGCTGAGTCATGCCCACTATACTTGCTCCATTTTGTTAGCTAGCAGTCTGCAGTCTTTGTTAGCAGAAAGAGGAGTGTGTGGAAGCCAAATTTTGCTGTCATAGGAGAGGGTTCCTATACACCTACTCTATAACAGGGATGACAGGTGGGCAGCTGACACATAAATGGAAACTAGGGACCAGTGTGAAAATCAGTGACACAAATTGGAGAGGAGTGTCTTCAGTTTTAGCACCAAGTTGTTAGGAACACTGCTGTGTTGTGACTGGTCTGAACACATGAGTCTTTGGGTAGAGACAAGGAGAAGCCCTTTCCTCATACAGGCAACCTGGCAACAGTGTTGGGGTTTAGAGAAGCTGGGCCATCGCTGTCCTTGTTGGTCTCACAGTTTGAATGGGCAAAGCCCTGAGCAGCCCAGTCTGACCCCAGCAGCCTAGCACTGGAGCTCCACAGGTGCCTGACTTACCCTGTCCACCTGTGGAGAAGACCACACATACCAACATACGTGTGCATGTATATTTAATAGTAAGGTTTCAAGTTACTCTCAAAAGCTTAAGAAGTTAGGTAAATGTACATATCTACATGCGCACGTAAAGGTGTGTGTGTGTGTGTGTGTGTGTGTGTGTGTGTGTGTGTGTGTGTGTGCACAGATGCTCTCTCTCTTGTCTGTGTGGCCAGGCTTGGTGCAGCCCAGACAAGTCTTAACCCATGACTAGACTAGCCCACATCCCAAGGGAGAGCCATGGGAACACCTGTCAGAGACACCCTGTGCATCCCAAGGGACCACCCACATTGTCCACCAGTGGACATGCTCAGGCAGCCTGTGCCGTAGGGATCCCTCGCAGTCTGGCCAAAGTCTCTTTTTGTGTGTCCTGGCTAATGTTGGTAATGCTGGTAGGTAGCTGTGGTGTTAATGCAGTGTTTTCAGACATGTTGTGTTCTCCCTGAAACACAACGCTGTCCTTGAACTCCTTTTGAAAGAATCCCTAACTTCATTCATCCACTTTGATAATCTGCTCACTGGAGCTTTTCTTACAGAATGAAGAGGATGAGGAGGAACAGCCTCTCAGCCTGGCCTGGCCTGAAACCCCACGCAAGCAGGTCACCTATCTTCTGGTGTTACCCATTGTTTTTCCACTGTGGGCTACCCTGCCAGACGTCAGAAAACCTGTAAGTAACTGTTGTTGTAAGTCAGTGTGTACTGCACAAAAGGGTGGCTCTCTAGTTAAATGCCAAAAAAAACCTAGAGCTATCAGGTTTTTCTGATTGTTTCTTCTTTGAAGAAGAGGGCACAATGTTAGCATTCAAATCTCCAAATGGCAAATGGGTGTTTATGAGCAGCTGGTTGTTAGTAGCTCTATAAAGATTATGATTTGTACTCACTTATACTTTATGATATAAAGTGAACGGTCTGAAAAATTCTTTGGGGCCTTCACATTTGTATTTTTGAATCTCTGCAGAACACGTGAGTGCTGAGGATCTGTCTATCTGCAGTGCCCTAAAGGATATGACTGGAAGGCTTTTAGAGACTAAATCTTTTCTGTAGTTCAAACATATGTTCTATTAGACCTTTTTCTTCCATCCATAATCTTGTAATTTTCATACTAGGATGAGATTTTTAAGTCCTCATGTATAAAATACTTACTAGTTTTTTCCTAAACACAGCTTGAAGTAATGTAAGACTGACAGTTTACCAAGGCTTACCACTTTTATACTTACATATACAAATCGACCTGACTGGGAAGGCTCATGGAAAGCAAAAGAGAGAGCATCAAGACCTGAAAAAAAAAAAAAAAATTAGTGGCGTTTGAATCTCTTTTCCTTTCTGGATCAAAAACAGGTTAAAAACTGGTGCAAGAGGCATGCACAGCATATAAGTTTATAAATCAACACCCTGAATTCTTCTTTCCTCCTCACACATAGTGAAAAACCTTCCTGCCATCCCACACACTGAAAAACTGCAATTCAGTGCAAGAAAGAAGCTAAAATAAGATCTCTGACTTTTTTTAGATAAAAGGTTCCAAAGGCTATAAAGTGACATTTACCCTTCTTTCCCTTCGCATGCTTTTTCCCTTTCCAATTTCTAAGCTTTCTTTTTCTTAAAGATTCCAGAAAACTCTGGAAATCACTTTTGTTACATAACACACAGAACGTATTGCATGAATTTAAAAATTATTTATTTCTGAATGTATGCCCTCCTTTCATCATTCAAAACTATCCTTGTAATTTTTTCATAATTTGATATAAAATTAGTGAGGAATATTTATGGGCATTGTTTTGAATTTTGAAAATCTGAAGCTAATGAAAATAGACCTGTAGCTTATTCAATATTCTGTAGTGTACAAATGAGAACATTTTTTTCAAAAATAGCTTTGGGAAGTGAATATCTTGACAAGTTGCCTGCAAGTTTGTGATGCATGTAATTATTAACACTAGTACCATTCACAACAGAACTCCATGCTGACATCCAGCAGCTGGAACACCTTGCCATACCACAAAAGATAAACATGGATGCATGTTCCAGATAGACAAGTTTTAAAAACAAAGTTTTAAAACTTCATTCACTGAAAGGTGTAGTTTATACAGGAAAAAGTGTAGTTTGTAATTACATGTAAATTAATAGAAGAGGTGATGGACTGTATCAGTATGACAAGCTGCTTACTTTGAACATTGGTGTCAAAGAATTAACCAGACAGTTGCATAAACTATCTAACATTTTAAGTATGCTTCATTAATGTATCTTCAAAATATTCTCACTTATTTCTGTGTGCCATCCCCACTAGTCCCTTCCTAACAAAACTGATGCCTGCTATCACAGCTCAGCATGTGCATCAGAAAACAGTTTTCAATTAAATCTGTGAGATAAAAGTTAAAGCAAACCTAAAATCATACTCAACTAGACTTTTTAGACAGGTCTGCCATCAGGGGCTCGATTTCCAAGTGTGATAATTTTAGTCAGAAACCCAAATTCTGCATCAGGATGCTCAGATTAGCATATGCATATATAAAGTGAATGCTTGTGTGCTATATACAGATTTGAAAGACCATATGGAGCCTTTGGCATCCTCTGTGGGTGTCCACTTTTCAATAAGTTCTTCCTTCTATCTAGAGTCTTTTTTCTAGTGTATATTTTATCTCCACACAAAGGAGATGGTTTCCCTGCATTTATTTGTCCTATTCTGAGGTACATTTAGTTCCATGAAACCCAGAAGCTCTAGAAAAATTATTTTGTAGACAAAGTCTCTGGTTCTAAAGTTAGCAAAATCCTGCTCTCTTATTATGCTGTCGTGCACATATATGCAGATTTTTGTATACTTAAAGTAGATTATGCATTAGTTCAGCTAACTGTCAGCTGATTGACTAGCTTAGATGTTTTATGTGTTTAGTGCCTTAATAACACCTGCTCACATTAAGCCAGTATATATTAAAATTGTTACTATAACATCAATAATGTTGTTAGCATATCCCAGAGGTAGGTGTGCCCTTAGGGAATTTTTTTCCTGAGTTCTTGCTCAGGTGTTTTAACCACTAATGGCTATTTTTCCTGTACTAATGGTTTGTTTCCCCAGTGGCTCTGTAAAGGTCACATATGTAACTGCCCATACCCTGGAGTAACAGATGTTGAAAGACTGAAAGAAGAATTATGTGGCCAAGACGCCCCAGTAGGTCAGGAGCAGATACTGAACACCACCTATTTTCTTATAACCTTACTCTACTGTCCATCCCTTTGCATTACTGGCCACAAAAATGGCTCTTGGGGCTCCAGTCCTGCCGTCACTGGACCCATATTGGGGAGTTCCTTCTATCTCTGCAAATTCCCATTATAAACAAAGAGCTACAACTTGCATGAACTCTTGTTGCCATACAGAGATGCACTGTTACCAAGGGGACAAGGACAACATGTTCCTGTACAGATCCAGTTAGAAGAACAGATTCTGAGTAATCAGAGTTAAGCACTGTTAAGTGTGAAAGAAAGATCAAACTTTGCAATGCAGATACATTTATGAACAAGGCAAACATGTGAATCATTCAGGTTAAAGATGTTAGTAATAATGCTGGCTAAAATTAAAAGAGTTAACTTCCACATTATTCAGCACATACTACCTTCCAGGATCAAGTTCTTAGAAGAAAAGCCTTCATATCTAGATTATTTTTGCTACTTAAAGCCCTGTTTTTCAGACATTGGCAGTAAACAAATGTATAGAAATGTATCAAGAAAAATGTTCTTAAGGTTTCTGATAGACAGGAACAGTACCAATCCATCTAATCTGCAGTGGAACTACAAAATCCTTCTACTTTTGTTAAGGGAAAATAGCAGATGAACTGAATAGGCCATGGCTTCTCTCATTTATCTGTTTCTTCGACCACAAAAGAGCCAATTGCTAACAAACCCTGCACTCTGTCTTTACCAGACAACCACCACAACAACTACTGAAAAAGATGGAGAGAAGTATTGCTGTCTGCTGTCTCTGACTAATACTTGTAGGAAAATTCTTGGAATTGGCAGCTCTTGGTATTTCAAAGAGCTAGAGAGTAGAAATTACATAAATCTATATACATAAAATACATAAAAGAATGCTGAAACTAGTTACAAAACAAGCATGATATTTATTGTTACAGTCTGGAATAAAATCCAGCTTACAGAACAGAATCAGCATTCTGGTTATGGCTTTTTCAAATTTTCATCTATATGCATATTGTAGAGCAGTATCTGTGGATTCCATTTTTGATTTCATCTCCTGTAAAATGTACAAGCTTTTAATTTTGCCCTTTCTGAATTTAAATGCTCCCCATTTTAAAATAGGTAATTTAAACATTAAGCCTATTAAAGTATCTTAGACTGCTGCTTATCAGTTAATTTTAGTGGGAGAGGATTAGCTAAGACAGGCGAGGAGTACACATGCTGCAAAGTTACTGGCTCATAGTTCTTAGCCATCCAAATTCTCTGGGTGTCTGACTCAGGCAGTCTCCCCTTGTTTTGCAAGAACCATTTGATGTATACAATCACACCATCAGAGAGCTATTATTGACCGGCGTGTATTCTATTAGTTTTGCTTAAGCCAGGGTATGCTTAAATCTTGAGTATTGTGCAGTGATCATTCAAATTGCAGTGCTGCAAGGTGCTCTGTACAGCTTTTGTGACCAGTTCCAACAAGTTTATTGCTTCATTGTCTCATTAACCATATGTCTTGCCAAAAGATTGGAGCTTTTGCAAGGAACATGGAAAATGTTGGACGTTGGAAAAGTTGACTACGAGGAATGGTGAAAAAAAAGTGCTAGCTGCTTAGTTTTAAAAGAGAAATGGCTATTTAGATTAATTTATTTCCACCAGTCTTAATTCTGCTCCCACTGGTGTCAGATCATTATAACAGCAATTGATATGTTTCTTTCAAATCGTGTTCCTTTTCGCATTACGGTCTTCTGTACCCCAATGCATATAAAATTTTGATTTTAAAATTAAAATTCCATCTGAGGAGGTTCCATTAATATAGGTTCCATTATGATAAGCTCATTATCATATTTCCTGGTTTGACAGAAATTTAGAACTCTCTTCTGAAAAAGTAACTCTGTAATGATTTAAGAAGCAATTAAGAAATAGATCAACCAAAGTACTCTGAGTACTTCTGAAAACAATGCTTGTGACAGTAGATTGGAATTTATATGAAAAGGATGTTTCCAGGTGCTGTAGTGATTATTTAAGGGTATCTGTTTATTTAAGGGTATCTTATTATTTAAGAGTAATCTATTTAAAACACCTACTGGACCACTTTTACTCCCACAGGTGTTCAGTTATTTATATTATGAGGAAGTTTAGAATCACAGATTCATAAAATGGTTTGGGTTGGATGGGAACCTTAGAGATATCTAGTTCCAACCCTCATGACATGGGCAGGGACACATTTCACTAGGCCAGGTTGCTCTAAGCCTGGTCCAACCTGGCCTTGAGCACTGCCAGGGATGGGGCATTCTCAGCTTCTCTGGGCAGCCTGTTCCAGTGTCTCACCACCCTCATACTAAATGCTTCTTCCTAATGTCCAATCTAAACCTTCTTTTTTTCTACTTTTCTAGTCCTCTTGTCCTGTCATTACATGCTCTTGTGAAAAGTCTCTCTCAGAGGCTTTCTGTAGGTACTGGAAGACTGCAATTAGATGACCCCAAAGCCTTCTCTTCTCCAGGCTGTACAATCCAAATTCTCTTAGCCTCTCCTCACAGAAAAGGTGTTCCATCCCTCTGGTAGTGTTGTTAAATCTGTACCGTTTTTAATGTGTGTTTCTGTGTATATTCAGTTGTGAAATTTTTTAGGTTGTGTTAGTCAACATGCTTGGTTTTCAGGAGGACATTTAGCATTATGCAAAGTACACCCAGGAAATGAGTTAGTGCTCTGTAGCACTGCCAGCAGCTGCACCTGCTGATGGAACAGATATGGACCTTCTATTTGTCCCATGCTGTAGATGAGTGTGCACAATTGGCACTGCTGACTTTACCCTTTTTACATCTGTTAGAATCCCGAGCTCGTTCCAGTTCCATCAGCAGAAAGTCTACACGGTCCCATTGAGTACAGACCAGCCTCTTTGTTTCCAGGTTCAGCTGGCAAAACACAGTGACATTCCTGCTTGACCAGCTCTAATGGCCAGCCGAATACACTCATCATCTTTTAGTCTACAGCCACCCTCTGATTCTGTTCTAATCAGTTCCTAAATGTGAAACTGTTTCATACAAATGTCTGTTGAGTTTGTTATATAAGGAAAGCTGACTGTGCAGCTCTGTAAACTCCCTAAAAAAAGAAGTGTTTATTACGGCTTGAAGAATCTGAATCAGAACAAGTGGTATTTTGGACACACTGAGGGAAAGCCCTGCAATCCCATATACTTCCACAACACCTAGGAATGATCCACAGTCTTAGTGAGCCTCCTGGTGCAGCAGGGGCATGACCTGCAGTGAAAGGGGGCAAAAAAATTCTGGAGTGGAAGTGGATTTAGTGAGGACTAAATGGGAAGAAGTACTGCAGGACTGAGCAGCAGCTGCGAGAGGCATTTAGAGTGGTATTAACTTACTTCCACAGGCAGTCTTACTGGTTATTCATTCAATTTTGCAGGACTCTGCTAGTCGCATGTCAGAAATCATCTAGGGTAAGATCTGCATTCAAAAGGTCAATGACCATAAAGAAAGACTGTTAGAATTCATTCACAGGACGAATTTAATTCTGAGTACTAATTTGATTAGATAGTGATTGCCTGGTGCAGTACTGCAATTTTGTTCCCTTCTTTCAGTAGTTAGCTTGACCTCTTTTTGTTACATAGATTCAGTTAGTTAATAGGTAATATGGAAAATGCATAAGATTGGAAAGAACAGAAACCAAAATAAATCATTAATCTGAATATAACCCATTCGCTGGCTGCAAGAACACTGTCTGTTCAAAATCTTACACAAGTAAGGGAAACAGTGAAAATGAAAATTAAGTTAAAGAGAGTTTTTAATTCATTGAAGGGCCTGGCAGTATGTTTTGCATGCTTTTATGGCATTATAACATTACATTTCTCTGCAAAATGAAGCATGGAAAGATATTGGCACCTGTTGAAGCAATTTGAAAACATTCATTCTGAAGAAACATGAAATTATTAAGAAATTTAGAAGTCAAACCACTATTGAGCTAAACACATATGCAAACTGCATCATAACAAATAATGATAAAAGTGACAACCCAGAACTTGCCAGTCATCATACAAGTTCTTAGGAAATCTTATTTTATGACTGAAGCAATTGGAAGGATGAGGTACATATATACCAATGTCAGGGCTTCTGTTTCTTACTTTTCTTGACAGGTATTTATCTGATAATCTGATGGTGATCAGAACAGTTGCTTAGAACAGGCCATAAGAAATAATGAGAAGCCACTCTCATATTGAGAAGGAATTAAGAGTATGGCATATCACCCTTCAATATAGGTTTTCACTGTTCCTCCTTCTTTCTGTTTCAGACATCAAGAAAATTTTTTCCCATCACGTTTTTTGGTTCTATCAGCTGGATTGCCTTCTTTTCTTACTTGATGGTCTGGTGGGCACACCAGGTAAGGAGGTGATACTCTTACTAAATAAAAGCCCTGCATTATGTTTTGCACTGTAAAAGATCATTTCTAATCAGAGTCCATCTATCTCCTGCTAGGTGCTGCTTTATTTCAGGAGCTGTACCAATGGATAAAGTAAATCAGTACTCACTAAATGAAAAGTAGCTTGGAGAGCTGTGGTTGGCCTGAGCACAGGACTTGATCATTCTTGTAGCATCAGAACTATCAGCAACTGCCTGTCAATATCTTATGCTTCTATTTCAAAGCCTTACCTTTCTCCTGATACATGGGAAAATCCATGAAAACTAGAATTTCTGTGATCTTGCCTGGTATTCTCCAAGCTAGTGGGAAAGCCCAGGACAGTTGAAAACATTTCTTTACTGCAGGAAACTTTTTTCTGGTTTTATTTAAACTCTTCTAGGTTGGAGAGACCATTGGTATTACTGAAGAAATCATGGGACTGACTATTCTAGCTGCTGGCACATCCATACCTGACCTTATTACCAGTGTTATTGTAGCACGCAAAGGTCTGGGGGACATGGCTGTATCCAGTTCTGTTGGAAGCAACATATTTGACATCACAGTGGGGTAAGCTCTACACCAAGAAAATTGTGTCTATTTTAAACAAGTCCTTTGTTCTTAGCACATTGCTGTGGTATTGCCCACAAGCAGCAATCTTTAAAAAGCAGAGTAATGCAAATAGGAAGCGAATGTTACTGTGGCAAGTGCTCTGAAGTTTATAGATGTCTGCATGAAAAAGTGTTATAAATTTGTTGCCTAATCCTTGCTTTGGTGTGTTACAGAGAGGCTTAGGCAAGTGAATTGCACTTTAAAATTGTGCAAGGGCATTGTTCCGAAAAGGAATTTCAAAGCTTTTTATACTTTTGTGAGGTTGCTGTTTGCTTTCTGCTACCACTCATTGGGCTTATACTAGAGCTTTCTTTATAAATGATGATCAGGAATAATTCATTGCCTCTGCAGTATTCAACATGTTTGCTGTAATAACAACAGAAAGTCATTGTCTTGTGTAACTGGTTTAGGCTGCTGTTGCCATGTGATTATTTTTTTTTCTATACCTGACAAGCCCAAAATTACAACCCAATTCTCTGTTAACAAAAAGGACCCTTTTTATAGCTCTGACAATGTGAAACTACATGAGATTGTGCAGAAGTTTTATATTTACGTTTCACTGCTTCATGGCAGCTCTAGGGTAATGATTTGTGGCATAATGTTGTAATTCAAATTCTTTTTTGGTCTTTTCAGACCAAGGTAGATCAGATTCAGAAAAAGTGTAATCCATGCCTCAGTGTTTCAAAAATGTGCAGGAAATACACAGGTAAATTCTGTCTTTGTTCGCACATTACCATCTTCAACACAGGATGGAGGCACTGAGAATCATGTCCATACTTTCAATTTCTCCATCTTTGGTTGTTTCTTACTATCACATGCAAACAGAAGAACAGGTCTAGTCATAGTTACAGTGCCAGACAACCTGATTGTAGAAGAGATCCTGGTTTTCACAGCTGGAAATATACCAGCATCTGCAAAAAGGTACAAAAAAGGATCCCGAAGTTTGAATGTATAGTAAATATATTTTTTACTTTATCTGTTAGCTAATGGCAGTAGTTAGACATAGTAGGAAAACTTAGCCAATTTTCTATTAATGCAGAAGCATTCAGTCTTTGAAATATCTATATTCAGCAAACCTGTAAAATGCATGAAAACCATGTCCTCCAACTTGGAGTACAGGGCATGCATTACAAAATTATTTCTTTTTTGCAGTGCTTTCTTACTTTAAAAAAATGTTTAATCTTCCTGCCAAAGGAAATGGTTTTGTCCTGCACCAGTCTGCTACACTTACAACAGAAATGGCACAGTTGAGCTGTAGACTGGTGTAGTTAGTACTGCAGCTGTAATAAATTATTCTCTCCAGAGCTGCTTATTCAAAGTTTTAATGTTGTGAGCTTCTCACAACTCACTTCATGCTTTCTAAGCCTGCTAAGCTCCAGTCAGTGTCTTAAATATTTATTTCAGCTTGACATCTTGCAGAGGGATATTGTCTCCTTCTGTGGCGTGAGAGATGAGAAATGCAATGACAGCAAGCACAGAAATAGAAGTTAAGCTGAAGTTCAATTGAAGTTCACAGTTTAACAGAGGTTTATACAGTAAATGTGGACAAAGATATTTAAGGGCGAAATTTTGCAGGCAGTGCCTTGCAGAGTGCTGGTTCTTCATGGCAAGGTCATGTTTCTTTCCAACCCACCCTCCTGTCAGGCAGACTCTTGGAAAGAGTGTGCAAATAGCTTCAGCAGATAGTGTGAAATCTAGAAACAAATAAAAGGGGGTTTCCTCTTCACAGACAGGATGCCAGGTGATTTGCCAGCCAGGGATATATAATTCACTACTATAATTGGTGGAAGAGTAGGGGGCAAAAAATCCCGTGTTTTCTCTCCAAGAACCATGAGAAAGCTTACAATTTATATTTATGCAATTATTAGAAGAGTTGAACATGTTCCTGCCTCACTTTCTGCAGGAAGCCTTTGGTTGTGTTTTGATTTGTCACCAGAAATCTTCTAGTGCTCCCTTCTGGACTTCTGCAATGTTTTAAATTAATTTTTCTGTTTCTTAACAGCCTTCCTCTTCCATGGCTCCTGTATGCTGTGGTTAACAGCTTTGCCCCGGTGACAGTCAGCAGCAATGGTCTGTTCTGTGCGATTGTCCTCCTCTTCATCATGCTGCTCTTCGTCATCCTCTCTATTGCCTCCTGCAAGTGGAGGATGAATAAAATCCTGGGTTTACTCATGTTTGGGCTTTATTTTGTGTTCCTGATTGTCAGTGTCCTTCTGGAGGACAAAGTGATCCAGTGTCCTGTCTCCATCTAGTGGAAAGTGGAGAGTGGAAAGTTATTTTTTTCTCAACAGAAAAAAAAAAAAAGAAAAACCAAAACATATATATTTATTAAAGAAAAGATACATATGTCGAAACAAAACAGCGGAAAAAAAACCACAGTGGAAAATTGCAGCAGGAATAACCCATGGATCTGTAAATTTTCTCTTCCTCAATTTCGAAAGAATGAAAGAAAGAAAAGGACATAAAGGGTCAGTCTCAGAGCTGAAGAATGGCTGCTGCTGGACATTGCAGTACTGCCTGAAGGGCTGAGTCTGGGAGCACCGAGGGTTCCTCTGCTGCAGAACATCCTCGCTGCTCAGCACTGGACACGCACCGTGCCCGCGGCAGCAGTGAAAGTTACTGCTTCTCCTCTGCCTACGGGACCTACCTGCAGATTTCTCCTTCTCTGTAGTGGTATACACAGACACACTGTGTGCTCAGCTCCTAAAGCTCTCCTCTTCCAAGGGGAATGCTAATATTAACTTTGTGGAGGCACCACCCCCCACACACCCTGGTACAGGATTTTTCCAATAACCTGCTGAAACCCCTGAGTGGAACGCATACACCAAGCGATGAGTCACAAACAGGGAAGGGCTTGTATGTCTCTTCACGTAAGTGGATTTATGTGATGTGATTTCAGCTAAGCCAGGGAATTCATCAGTGTTTTGATCATCTGCATCACAGGTCTGTAAAGGCAATCAGCAGGATGTTAATGGTGGTTTCTTACATCTTGCAAAACTCTTCAGGTTCCAGAAACTCTGGCACTGAAGGAGCCATGATGCCTGACCATTCTGTAACTGGTGCAGATTTTCATTGCATTCTCATGCAAAGACCAGAATGGGGATAATCTTTCTTCTCTAATAGCAACGCAGCATGCAGTGACATCATACAGCTATGTGAACACACCATTTTTTCTAATGCAGCAATATCAACAGTACCAATGGCTTTCAGATGCTGTTATGAGTTTGCCTTTTCATGCCAGAATAAAAAGGCTAATTTGCTTATGCATAGTATTTCATAAAGAAAATAGAAGTAGTTATAAAGTGGCAGCCTAATTACTAAGTGAATATATACTTTATAGGCTTTCACTAATACTTGGAGTGTAAGGACCTTCACAGCTACATATAGTTATTTGCTGGAAGAGATCTCCAGCTGTTGTATAAAGCTGGGGAAGTTCACATTTGCTGTTATAAATCTTGAAACTAGGTAGGAGAAACACAATTTAAATACAGTGGAGCTGCAGGAAACTTACATGAAAATTCTTCAGTATTGCTGGAAGTGTACATGTCTAAAGAAAGGAAGGAGTGAATATGCAACATCCTTTTTCTGAGATACTGAGAGAATGAGAAGGTCCAAACCTAGAGCAGAAAAAGCCAAGAAGGGAGAAAGAAACTAACTTTCTGTAGTTTGGCTGATTTTTTTAAAAATGAGAGGACTGGAACGAATGTTAAGAAATTATTTCAGATAATCATCATTTGTTTGTTCAAGTCTTTTGTGCAATTAAGAGTTCATGAAGTTTCAGTGCATTTCTGTGACCTGTTTCATCATTGTTTTATATGTGTATTGTGCTCACAATGGCAATGCCATTCTCACATCTGTGTAACAGAAGTCTCAGCACATTTTGTCTTGGCTGTTTTTCTCTGCTCCACACTGTTTGTTTCTCACTCATCCCCTTTGTCCTTTACTGTTTTCCTATTATATGTGTTTTTATGTGACAGTGTATGATTAGAAAATAAGGACTTGACAGAAAACAATGGTAGAGAAATCAGTACAAAATTCATATTAGTTATATTAATATTATGTGATATCATGAAGAAAAAAGTGAGATGTTAATGAAATAAAGGAAGGATACTAGGAGTTGCAATGTCTGCTACTCATATATTTTCCTAAGTCCTAGCTACGTGCAGAATCAGTATTTAATCTTAACCATACAACAAGCAACATCTCTTATTTCTTAGTGCTTTTTAGAGTGAGCTTCTCACATCGAGGGCAAAAAATTGTCTTTGTATTCAAGATCCTTCACTGGTGCAGAATCGTTACCTGTACTAGCGATAGGGCTGCCCATCTCTAACATTTGTTCCTAGGGGTGTAGCCTTGGAAAGGTGGGCGGATATACACGCCTGTGGTATATACACAGGATATACACACCTGTGGTGCCCTCTGCTGACAGAACAGCAGCCTAAAGCGATTTGTGACCCAAATTCTGACCTCAACCAAAACGTGTGTCCCAAAATACAGAGCTGACTCCGCAGTACAATCTATTCCAGAGGAGTCACCAAATGCTTTTGTTTCTGATGACAGTGCTCAAAACAGGTAATCCTTTCCCTAGTAAGTGCAATCATACATAGGAGTGACCCAAAGTAAGGGCTGTGTATGTGGGCACTTACAAAATACTGCAATGCCCAGATTCCACTGATCTGACATTTCAAATCAAGAAACCAGACCAGTGTCCAATCTCTATGTAGTACACTACTTTCTTTTTTTTTTAACTTCATACCATCATGGTGTAACAACTGCCACATTGGAAACAGAAAGCTCCTGCCTGACCTTCAGAGGTCTAAGAGCTCTCTGGTGCACTCAGGGCATCAGCAGCAGAGACTGCTGCCCCACTGAGGACAGATAGTAAGTAGAGAGTAACTGGCATCAGCAGCTTATAGGAAGATCTCTATGTACACCATTAAGGACTGATATTCTGTGATGGCATTTCTATACTGTCTTAAAATGTGTCTCATTTCTTTCCCATGTCTGTTTGTCCCTATCACATCTTTACCTAAGAAGGTGTTATAAACAACTTCTCCTTCTCCAGAATAAGACACCTCATGGCTCCCACTGCCTTGTATCTGTTGGGCAGATCATTTTTCAAATGGTTGAATAACTGTGCCAGTGGTACCTCAGATCCAGAGGTAATAGGACATATTTCAATTGTGAGGTGCTTTCTGTGAACAATGATTATACTTGCCAAGGCACCTTTCTACTGCTGGGGTAAACTGTTAGTGGATACTTGGATGCTGATATGCTCTTTGATTACAAGACAACAGCTCTGCTGGCTAGTAAAGAAGAGTGGGATGGAGGGAGAAGCTTAGTCCCTTATCCTGCACAGAAGGAATTCAATCTTAAACTAGAATGCTGAGAAAACAGTCAAAAGCTGCTCCAATCCAGTGACTGGATGTCAGTGAGTTGTCCAGACTCAATGCTGCCAGAAACACACACACTTGTTGCAACATTCCTGTTTACAATTTCAACAAATTTCCCAGCATAAAGTGTTTCTCATCGTTCATAATTATTTCAGTGTAGGATCACGAACTCTTCTCAACATTGCACACCCAGAAATCAAGCATACCTAAAAATCAAAGTTCTATTTTGTTCAGCCAAAGTTCTGTATAACTTCACTAGGGATCTGGTCCTTCACACTGCCCAAATTCTATAGTGAGCTGACTGGCGTTGAAGCCTTTTCCACCTGCCTGTATGCCCGTGCTCACTAACTCAATCACTACTGCTGTCTGCATAATCCTTATGAAGTATAAATGAACAACAAATAGAAAAATTGACATTGATAAAGATCCTGTTCTAGCTTAGCACTTTCAGGACACCAGCTTGGAAATATAGAAGAAAGATAAGAATGCAACTTCAGATTAAAAAGCCAACCCTCTGTGGCACCATCATCTCTGAATGGAATCAGTGTTGAACACAATTTTTGGAAGGGATTTCTGGTAGCATTTGAATGGGATCATGGCTCAGATTGTAGCCAGTTTTAAAGGTCTTCAGCACAAACTTCATTGGAATTAAATATGAGAATGGGCCCCATTGGTACAAAATACCACTTGAGTCTTACAACTATTCTGTTTTCCCTCTGCATAAGCCACCCTGGTCACAACTTGGCAAAAGCTATAGAAGTGTGATTAAAAGTGTGGTGTGAAGATTCTCTCCTTAAGAACTACATGTAGACATGGAAAAATCTTTCAGCAAAGCTCTATGTATTTTAAATTAACTATTTTACTGAAAGCTAGTGCTTTCTTATAGTGCAGACAGGCTCTTGTGTCTGTATGCTTCTGCTTATGTATCCAGTTGATGTGGCTGACTGCATAAACTTCATGAAGCATAAAGCACAGTGGGTGACAAGCAACCTTATCTAGGTGTCATTTGTTTGTAATGGCAATGAACCTACCATATAATTTCAACATACACTACTCTGAAGTAGTTTATGGTCACTGTCACTCATGGTACTGTTGTGTGTGGATATGAAGGTCCACAAAGTGGTAAGTTAAACATGTAGTTAATCCAAGTACAGTGAAAAAATAGATGCTTAGAAATATTATTAATGTTTGGGTGTTTTTTAAGGGATTATTTCTCTGGTTGTCTTTTACTTCATTACATATTTTGCAAAAAAGGGGATATTCAATGTTTTTTAATTATTATTCTTTCAGCAGTAATTCCTTAAAATAGCATCTTGTGGTCCATATAACTTAAGTTCTGAGTCAAGTATGAGTCTGTATCAGATGGTTTTCTTTATTTATAACAAGGAAATAATCCCTTCTCTAAGAACTGGCCCAATGAAATACAGAAGAATTCTGCCGTTAACCTGGACAAGATAGAGACTTTTATCTTAAGTTCCTGTGTTTCATAAATGCAGTTATATAACAAACCTAATTGTCCTGGGAGCTATGTACAAAGAGATAAATTACATTCACTTGTATTCTTGGAAACAATTTTACCTCTTGTAAATAACAATGACACAACTAACTGAGGCATGGTTTGAGCAGGTGATTCTTTTTTTTTCTGCTATTCCTGGAAAGTTAAATTGAAGAAAAATACTTGCAGAAAGTGACTTTGAGATTATCAAATGGGATAGTTTGAAACAGTGTGGAGCAGAATCCTGCTCCAATCCTCCAAAAGCCATGGGTTTCATGCCTGGTTGATGGCAACTGACCTTCTGGGCCTGTTGCCATCAGTTACAGGAAAATTGGCATTGAGATGTCCATCATTTCCATTGGAACTGTTGAGAGTCACCTCCAAACTGAAGTTGTGCAGTTCAGTGCACCCATCAAATGCAGCAGTCACGTGTGGCTCAGAGCCCTGTAGCTGAGACAGGCCATCCTGTAGGTCTGCAGTGTGTTGCTGGGTGTCAGTGTGCAGCATCCCAGGACTTGTCTGCCTGGATGGGTGCAGGTCGTTTGAGCCTTCCCTGCCTGTGCTCCTGCTTGACTGGATGCAAGCCGTGTCTGCTCCAGAAGTTGTGTTGTCCCATTAGCATGGCACTGAGCCCATGCTCCAGCCAGTCAGACACAGGTCAGCCCCAGCCCAGAAGCCATGTAATCCCTTGGAGTGTGGGTAGACCAGGCACAAAATTGGCCATATCGTTCCTACACGAGCCATAAGTGAAACAGCCCAGGACAAGAATGAGTAATTCAAGACTGGTAAATGAACTGTACATTCATGTAGATTTATTGTAAATTCTCCACTCATGAAACACAAAACCAATCCCAACAATGAAATTTGTACACATTTTTAAAGATTGTGCACTTTACTATTTTATTTTTATTTTTATTTTGTCACATAGTTGTCTTAATGCAAAAAGAAGCCATAAAGAACCCAGAAGACTAGTATGGGGTTTCTAAGTAAGGGGATCATTAATTTTAAAGTAAAGAATCAATTCCATGTCTCTGTTTAAGGTATAATGTCAAACACTGACAAATAAATGTACAGTAAAGCAGGATCTGGTTTCGCCTTAGTGATGCTGTGAGTAAGTCAGGGGAGTTTGCTCCTCGTCCTCTTGAATTTTCCTGTGGGGCTGTACAAAATGCTGCACACTACCTTTGCAGTAGGGACTCAATCCTGCTACCCTTGTTCACCCCAGGAGAAGGAATAAAATGCTTGCAGAGTCAGGCCCAATAAAGCAATTAAATCATTCTGCTCCTTTGATGTTTTCTCCCACTGAGATCAGAGTAAAGGAAGCTCCTTATGTTTTAGTAAGTTTATAAGAGATGAGTTGCTTCTGTCAATTTTTGAAAAAGTTTCCAGGGTCAGGTTATCCAATAGAAATAAATCAATTATTTTAATCCCTCATCAAAATTAAGTAATGCCAAAGGATTTCACTTTGTTTTGTGTTCATTTCCATTATCAAGATCTCTGTTGCAGTTTTAGTTTTGCAATCCTGACTCTGGGGAATGACTTACATGAATTAAAATTATTTCTGTCACTTAAGATGGCAAGATCAGGACATGGTATTGTGATGTGAAAATAGTGTGTTATAATTGACAATCAGAGGCTATTTTTGTAATAAAGTGTTTCTAGCATGTTTGTTTCACTTTGTAGTTTTCATACTCTTATCATCCATAATTTTCAGCCTATTGTAAGAAAAATCTGAAGTCCCCCATCTTTACTCATTTCTAACTTTAAAAGTAAAACCACATTTCCATGTATTTTTTATTTCGCAAGTCCAGGCAACCTCCTGAAAATTCCAATTTTTCTCATGTGTTTAAGTGAATGGATCATTATTCACTAGATTATACTCTTGTATCTCTGAATCAGTATATGCTTTGTGAATATAAGTTTGTATATAGTATGAAAGTTACCTTTATTTGTATATAGGCTCTTGGAAATAATCCCTTCTATCAAGGTCCTACTTCACTATCTACAGAATGTTTCACTGTGGCATGTACACTTTCTCACCTTATCATACTAATACAGAGTTCTTAATATAAATCACTTAATGTAACTGAGTTGTCTAAGTGTGAATAACAATAACAATAAATACTAATAAAAAGAATGAAGAGTGTGTCAATTTGCTCAGTATCTTTTGTCTTGGGTCTTGGGTTTGCTGTTGCTCTGAAAATAGTATTTTAACTACCTTCTCCAGTTTCAGTGGTGGGCTGCAGTGCTGCTCATCATTACTGCTGTTCAAGCTGTGCTGCTTGCCTCTTGCCGTGTCCCAGTGCTACCTTCTGTATGTACACAGAGTAAGGAAATTGCCTGTCTTCCAGTGAGCTTAAAATTTTGTTAGACAAGGATTTTTCATTTACTGCTGAATGTGAATCCAAACTACTTGGAGCTGTGTATGTCTGGAGCCCTGTTGTTCTGTTCAGGATCAAGTTCCCTTACATTTCTTTACTGATACATTTGATCACAAGATGTTTTGAGTTCCATTCTTTACTTTGACACCTTGTTTAATCTCCAGGCTGCACAGTCTATTGCCCTTGCCAGCCAGGCTTTTTGTTCTGGTTTTTTTTTTTGTTTGTTTTTGTTTTTGTTTTGTTTTGTTTTTTGGTGGTTGTTGTTGTTGTTTTTTTGTTATTTTGGTTGGGGTTTTTTTGTGGTGGGGTTTTTTTTTTTTTTTAGTCTGTCCTTGAGTGAATTATGTATTTAAATGATCTTCAATAAATTGCAGTAAAAGAAAGTCAACAATACTAGCATTTTCTCATAATCAGCCAAAATTTCCATCTTCACAAGTTACAAAACATTGCACATGGACATTATTACTTAATAATTCTCCCATCGTAGCCCAGGAAGTCCTCCTCCCCAATGAATTAAGGTGGTTTTTGTGAGGCACCATGCCAACGTGTAAGGTGTGAGCTCAGGAGAGTGATTTTTCATTCATCTTTAACTTTACTAGAGCCTTAACATTTTAGATTGAAAACAAAGGAAATTTGCAGATAGCTTAGGACCTGAGAATGATGATTGCCCTGAGACATCCATGCCTGCCAAGCAACAAAAAACAACAAGGTAAAATACATCCTACAAAACCTAAAATTGGCTCCAAGTCACAGAGGCACATCTGGGATGTTTCAAAATTTAAATCTCCAAGTCACAGAGGCACATGTGGGATGATTCAAAATTTAGATTGGAGATGGAGAGTTTGTAAAAAGACATTTAGTCTTTATCTGAGGAGTGAACATGCATGCATACACACAGAGGTGTTCACAGCTTTGCTCTATGGGTGTGTGTTTTCTTACCCTACTGCTTGCTAACATTTGATCCCTTCCTCAACTGCAGTGACTTTTGTAAAACGGAGGATTTTAAATCCTTCAGTGCCACAGCAGGCCTTGATGCTATATGACTGGGTTGAGCAGGAAGAAAAGAAAAACAAATTATGTATCCACCACAATCCTGCCTGGGCGAATGAAGGCAAGTTGCCTTACTATGTGTCCACAAGGAAGTATTTCACTGCCCTACCTGTAGTGCTGAAAAAACCATTTACTACAACTTTTCTCCTTTACAAGTAGTTGCAATTGGATTGTTAACTGACAAGGAGAAAAGCAATGTGCCCGTTAAAACTGAATTCAAACTTTCCTTCCATGGAAACACTTCCGAATCTCCCTTTAAAACAAAGAATTCCTTTTCTGTCAACACATACCTCAGAGAAATAAATATTTGTGCAGAAACTTGCAAAGAGTACAGATTTTAGCCCTGAAGAGATGTTCCTCCCTTCATCTCTTATTTATGCAAATTTTCACATCACAGTTTGAACAACACATCTATTTTATGGACAATGGGATGTTTTTTGGCAGGATGAAACCTACAGTATTGCTTCTGAGGCATCAAATCCAAACCAAACCATTTCTTGTTAGGAAAATATGAATATAGTCAGAGAAGTTATCGGCATCCTGTCCGTTTAAAGCACTCCAAATAGGATGTTTTAAAAACAGTTTTACAGTGAATGAGACTTCAAATGAAGAAGTGTCCCACAAACCCTTGGGTTGCTTGCAATCACTTTTTGCCTGTCCACCAGCAACGATGAGCAAATATTGGCCTTCAGCTACAACCATCCACAAACTGCTGCTAAAAATGTGAAACTGCAAGTGCTGGCTCTGCTGTGCTGGAGGATTCCCCGTAGTGGGGTTGTGTCAGAGCAAAGAGCAGGTCTGGGCTTGCTGAGTGGGGCAGAGGAGGACGTGGGTGGGAAGGTGGGCCCTGTCTAGCATGGGAAAACAGGCCACTTCATTGGACCTTGAATTGACACCGTGATCCAGAGAGCAGGAGGGAAGACTATGGGAAAAACTGACATAAAATTCTGTTACAATTTATGTCTAAAAAGACATATAACAGGTGGTTTTCCCTCTTGGCTCTCTGCAGCCCAGTTTAATTTTGCTGTAAAATGAAGGAGTACAACCCTGAGTAACATTCTCTAGGGGACACTGTGCAAGCAGAGAGGTTGGACTCGATGAGCCCAGCGGTGATGCCCTCCAACCAAATTCAGTGATTCTGCTTGGTTTAGCGAAAAAAATGCTCCCACTGCCCGTTCCTCACCTCCACTTATTTCCTATTCTTTGTTACCACCTAGTATGAGAGAAAAAGGAAACTACTACCAGAATTGTCTAATTCCCTGTGAAGATCTGGACCTGCTCTTGCACTGCACTGCCCGCCTGCTTGCCGGCCTACCTTGATACCATGCCATAGTGATGGCCAGAATTTGTCTCTCACAGCAGTGACCAACTCCTGCCAATTTTGTAGCTTGCTTCTCAAGACTAAGAGATTGTAGTCTGATCCTCTGGAACTAGGACATACTGCTGGCCAAAACTATCTCGAAAGTGTTTCACTGAAGTTCACAAAACACAAGACTGTTGAAGAAAAATCAGTTTGAGTCTTGGAAAAATTAGCTTGTTCCAGGCTAACGTGCTGTAGGATTCAGCATTTGTGCCTCAGTCAAAAGTATTAGTAAACCCATTTTCTGTTGTTATATAACGAATTTTTGAAAAATTATTCCCTAAAATTCATTTTATTTTCCACTCAGAAGAATAACTTTCAGCAAAGATTTTACCATAAACTGACTGGAAACAGAAATTGCTAAAGATTCATGATTGTTAATATGCAATTTTTCCAAAAAGAAATTTCCTGGACAGCTTTTCCCCACCACCTGTCCTGCTAAAAACCTATTAAAACATGCCAGGGTGTTGTTGTTCTGAGAAGAGCCAGGACAAGCATGGTGAAGCCAAATCTTCCCTGTCCTCAGGCCTGTTTTTACTGTTCTGGCTCCGTCTACACTCCTGTCCTCTATGTTCCTCACTCTACTCAGCATCCAAAAGCATTCCGGTCACAAATGGTGCCCCAGCAAGTGGAGGCAGGTGATGCTCAGAGTGAGAAGGTCTCAGGCCAGGCAAGGCCAACTTTTCCCAGCTGGCACCACAGCTGACACCACTTCTAGATGTCTGTGCTATCACTTGGCAGCTAAACACAGAGCGGCAAGGTCAGCTCTGCAGGCACCTCCAGGCACTGTGGAAGGACCAGAGAGCAGCTGGCAGAAGCAGGGTGCCCTCAGTTGTTTCACAGTGGGTTTATGCAAAGTCTGGGTGCCAACAGAAAGGTGATGCCGAGCACGTGCACCCACTGCCTCACCTGCCCTGGTGAGCTCTACCATTCCTGCCCTACAGAAAGTTTACTGGCATGAAGGTACTTTGGCACCTGTACCAACCTGTCTAGAGCTGCTAAAGTAACAAACCCCAATATGCATGCCTTGTGAGTGGACACTTCTGGAAAAGGGGGAAAAAAAGATCTCTTCGTCACCAGGCCTGCCACAAAATCAAGAAAAGATGAGCACAGTGATCTCCCAGAGAAACATTAATCTTGTAGAATGTCAGGGGAAGTAGATGGACTGAAACACAAACAGGTCATGTCCTCAGTGCATGAAAGGTGGCTTATCTGGATTAATAACTTGTGCTGGCATGGTTGCTGAAGCTTTCATTTTCTTGGAATTACCTTAATAGCAAAGTGTCTGGTAGCAGGTGTGCTTGCGGACATTTACAAGCAATTATCTCTGCTGACAAGGAGATATAATAAAACCCTTAATGCAGGAAGAGAGCAAGGCACAGCCAGGCAAGGACATTAAGCAGGGCAGTACATCTCATCATGTCCTTGTTCCAAATATATATTTAGCATTACAGCAGCTGTTCTCCAGTCAAAACCCCTGCTGGCCTTCATTGCAACAAAACCATCCTCCTCTGGGCTGATCTCAATACTGAATGTTAAAGAATAAGGGCAGTGATTGAGATCATAAAGAGTGCAGTAAATTGTCATTACATTTGCCAATACAGGGCTGGTACCTAAACAAATCTCTAGGTTTCTCTAGGCTCCTGCACTGGCCCAAGATACGATAAAGAGCAGCTGGGCTTGCATGGAGCTTTGCCTTTTGTTGTAAGGACCCATGTAGGGAATGTCTTAACTCTCACATGGGGTGAATTTCCTCAGCCCCACCAATCACCTCTGAAGAGCTTGAATCGTATTTCCCTTCTAGACTGAGGTTCAACAGATTTCCTTCTGTTCACTATGTGTTCTGGTTGCCATGCCAAGTAATGGAGTGAATCCCATCATTTTCTGGGGAAGGGATGGTGAAGGTCTCCGCACCTCCAGGAGGGCTCTGGGTGAAAGCACACATCTGCTCAACATTCCGAGCTACACAAAACCACTGTGCAGCATGCAGCCTGCCAGCAGGCTGCAGGGAACAACTTGTCCACACTGGTTGCATCTGAAAGCCTTGCTGATTTTGATCTGTGTTCTGAACAATGAGTCAGCAGCAGAGTAAAATTCTGATGTCTTTGAGAAGCTTGTCAAACTACACAGAGCTAGAAACTGCAAAGGAAGTAGGTTCGATCAACCTCTCTCTTTCTTCTACAGTGCTGTCTGGTTTTAATGTAAGTTAATATGCAGCTAATTTGAAAGAAATAAAAAACAGGAAAGTCAAATTCATATAAGAAAAGTAATTTTTCTACCCTAAACTATACACCTTCCTCAATTTCTCGTTTATTGGGTACAGAGTTAGTCTGAGAAGATAACACCTTTCTTTGGCACCAG